TAAGTGTATTTAGTTTCACCGATTTTAAAAAATGAATCATTTTGATGATAGAATACCCCTAAATAAATTCAGTAACAATGATCATTTTGTTCCGAGAAGGCAAGTATGAGTAAGTGCCCTCATACCCGATGACCTCAATCTTAGCTGGAAAGAGGCTAGAATTAGGAAGTAGGACTAGATGAAGCAGGAATGCAACTTAACAAAAACAGAAAAAAGTTCAAAACATCCTGTGGAAGGTCTTTTCACAATTAAAAGGTAATCAAAGAAATGCCAAGAAACAGTTAAGTAAAATTATGAGAACTTGTATTGAGCCAAGTAATAGGATTTTGTGTTATGCAACCAGAGTAGTTCTCCTTTGGACTTACGGAATATGCAGTAAATTATAAATTACCTTTATTATTTCTATCTGATCTCTCCCAACTAAAGGGACTTATGCTTCTTATACTGCATACTCTGCCCAGGGAAGGAATAAGAAAAAAACTGAGTAAGTCACTAGAAACATAAACTGTATACAAGAAAGGAACCAAATGCTCAATACTACTTTTTATAGGTTTGCAAATTTGGGTTTAATCATGACTATAAGTTCAGAATGAACTCCCCTAACATTTTTTAAACCTGATTATAGAGAGGAAAAAAGTACTCAAAGTAGAGAGCCCTGGGCCGGCCTGTGGCTCACTCGGTAGAGTGCGGTGCTGATAACACCAAGGCCATGGGTTCGGATCCCATATAGGGATGGCCGGTTTGCTCACTGGCTGAGCGTGGTGCTGACAACACCAAGTCAAGGGTTAAGATCCCCTTACCGGTCATCTTTAAAAAAAAAAAGTAGAGAGCCCTGTTAGAAATTCAGTCACCTCACTTTAAAACACCCTGTAAGATACAACTGCATTTTTATAATGTATCTTTCACTTGAATGCCTATCAAGGAAGGAGGGATTTATTCCCCCTCCATTTTTAGAAGTCCACTGTCACAAAGTGACATAAAAAGTTTAAATTTAAATATCCTACACTTTCAAAAGATCTCCTGTATGTAGTTACAAAGCTAATCAGATGAAACTCAGATAATTCAGTAATGCCAAACCCTTGCTTATGTGACTATTAAACTGTACCTGGATCATTTCTTACCTCCACCAGGTGGACCAAAACAAGCAAATGACACCTATATTACATAGTTTAGAAAACAGCTGAAAGAAAAATCTCTTTCAACATACAGTAGTACTATAGATAGAGGAAAAAATACTTGAGCCATGTTAAAAAGTTACGTGAAAATATAATTAAACAAGATGATTATATTCTGCTATATTACAGAAGAAATTAGAAAAATTTCTAACTAAAAAGAACCATCAAGAATATATGAAAATACTAAAAGGGAAAAAATAATATTGTGCCTGCCTTTCCCTCCACACCCCTAGTTTTAAAAGACAAAGATCCTTAAGACTTTTTAAATATGGTCACTGGACACTTTCTACCCTGTGGCCTCTATTTTGCATGGCTAGATTTTTTCCTAGCTTCCTAAAAAGGGGATTAAGAGCTATGCCTACCACTATCTTAAAAATAGTGATATGACTAGAACTTCTATCAAATGCCTGGTAAGTTATACATTCATAATCTCTCCCACTCTCACATACAGTTACTTAACCCAAAATAGTTATTGTTTTTAAAATAAACTTCTGATAAGAGAATGACAGAGCATTAAATGGTGAACACCAAGAACAAAGTTCATGAGTCAGCACTTCAGTTCAATCTCAGAAGCAGACACGTTGAGCAGAGTCAGCTGACCCAGGAGTGACAGGCAGAGCAATGTGAATGGGGGCCCCACTCCTGAGCATATGGCTGGGGGACGCATGGTAGGCAGAGATGACATGGAAGCCCACTCACTGCTTTCCCCTCACCAGTGGACTAAAGACCCCAGCTTCTTATCATGTTAAATGATTCACACTTCTTGTACAGATGTAGATTTCTCTGCTATCATGTGACATTTATTACTCAGGAGCTCAAATGCTTTCGAGCCTTTCTTTCTCTTTATTTGTTAAAACTTTACCACAGTCTCAGAATCAACAACTCTAATCAGTTGATTTCTAAACCAACGTCAATCCACTAATGGATATAATTACATTTCAGGGAGATGATAAAAGCCTAGTTTTTCTTAATTTCATCTAGTAGATCCTTTAGCAACCAAAAAGAAAAAAAAAAAGGTTGGATAGGTACTGTTAAAAAGGGTTTTTTTCCTAGATAATTTTACAAACAGTTTTTCTATAATGGCATTTATTAGATGATATAAACTTGAGATGCTAATACTATACTATAAATTCATTCAACAAAAATTATTTAATTAAATGCCAAGAATAGGCAAAGTCTTATGGAAGAGACAAAGATGAATAAGACACACCCATGCTCTCAGGACACTCAAAAGCCAGTGCGGGCAGATAAAGCAAGTACACAAATTAAGAAAACCCAAGGCAGCAGGATGTGTGTGTATAAGACAGAAATAAAATGTTGAAGCCCCTCAAAAAAGGAGAAAGGGAAAGCCAGTCATCAGGATCAAAAACCTACATCAGCATACTATCCAAACAACGATTTAAAATCTATTTGTGAATTAAATAAAATAGGTTAAAAGAGAACCAACATGATACAATGAATGCTAAGAGCACCTGGTAAAACACAGAGATCCGGATTCTAATTCTAGCCCCGCTGAGAACCACCTTCTAGCTCTGTGATTAAGTTAAACTGTCATATCGCTCTTTCCAAACCTAGATTTCCTCAGCCATAAACGGGAAATGGCATCTGCTCTACCTGCTTAACGGGCTGATGCGAGAATGAAATCGCTCACAGAATTTTAACTTCACCATACCTTTAAATCCCAGCTCCCTGCCCCCACAGGAATTTCCTAATAGGTAGCCAGATATTCAACTTCTTCCCGAATACTTCCAGAAAGGTGAACTTCATTATTTCTCAAGATTGATCACTACTTCTGGGGCAGCTCCAATTCTTACAAGTTCTTGCTTAGTGAAACCAAAATCAGCCTCTCAGAAATTTCCATCTTCTGATCCTACACAGAAAAATGCCTAACAAGGAAACTTGCAATGACATGAATAAATGAAAAGCCACGTTATACAGAGGAGAGAGAAATCACTTTTAACCAGGAAATTTTGACGGTGGAAAGGGGTTTGGCCCGTAGGCTTCAAGCCTTAGGTCTTTTTTTCTAGGCAAGTCGTTTCTTAGGGAAAGTCAGGCGAGAGAGCACATGGCATGTCCCAGAGTTCTTGAAGCACATTCTTTTTTTTTTTTTTTTTTTTTTTCCCTTTTTTGTCTTTTGTTGTGACCGGCAACGGATCGCAACCCTCAGTGTCGCGCCCGTACCGGACCGGGACCGGCAACGGGATCGCAACCCTCGGTGTTGCCCCCGCACCTCGCTCAGCCAGTGAGCGGCCGGTCTGTATGTGGGATCCGAACCCTCGGCGGGAGCGCTGCCGCGCTTCCCAAGCGGCGCACTGGGCAGGCCCGTGAAGCACATTCTTTTTTGAGTATAGCATATAAGCAAGGGAGTGGTGCCTAAAAAGCTGGTGGTTAGGCAGATCATGAAGAAACGTGAACATTCATCCTGCTAAGAGTCTGGACTGAAATCAGCACGCAGGGCAACTCACTGAAGATTTCTGAGATGTAACATGGTAGAATTCAACGTTTAGGAAGATTAGTTAGGCGGAGATGTGCTGGATGTAGTCTGGGGTGGGAGGTGGGGGTGCTGAGCGCCAAACCGGACCCTACTAGAAGAGACTCTGACGAGGGTCGAGGACTGGTAAGGGGAAGAAATTTTAAAACGTTGCCGTGACTAAAAAAGGAGTGATTCTATTAACATAGATTAAGAAGTTACCGCACCGGCAAGCCGCCAAGAAAAAAAAAAAAAAGTTAATTTACATCTATTTAGTGAAGGCCAAACGAAATATAGGATTCTGGTTTACTTATAAATTTAGTTCTGGCATCCCACACCGCTGCAGCACTCTGCACCGTCACAGACTGATTGATTATTTCTCTGCGTTCCTGCAAGCCAAAGCACGTTTTCAAAAAGTGAGAGTCACGGCTCACAATCCATACATATTCGGCAAAAACCACAAGCCGCGCCAAGCTGAATTTGGGGAAGCAGTTTGGGATAGCTGTTTCAACAATGAAATGGCCGATGTGATTATCCTCAGGCAATACAAAAAGCCTCTCAGCTGCCCTGTTAAAAACTTTCCACTTGGGATGACTATTCCCAGCTACTCTATGACACATCTGATCCATAAGATGCCCGATCCGAAGCAACATCTCTGCCCTCCCCGATGGGCTCTCCGTCTCCCTCCCCCATAAGGAGCAGAACGAGGCCAGGCCTCAGCAGAAGAGCGCAGTCGACCGCCCGCCACCCACGGCGCAGGGGCCGGTTCCCCTCCCCCAGCCGGCGCCCGAGCTGAGAGCGGGCGGAGCTCTCGGCGGCAGGAGCCTGGTACCCGGCGCAGCCGGCTCCGCAGCTTCGCCCGCCCC